CAGCCTCAGTATCTCAGAAAAAGAATGCAGGCAGTCCTCAAGTTACAAGCAAGATACAGCTCTTTGGATGAGAATTCTAGAAACCTATTCACACTACAAATCCCAAGCTTTCATAAAATGAAACCAAGATATTTCAAATGGGGCCATAGTGCTATACCTGTATAGTGTAAGATTCCCAGAACCTACAATAGGAATGAAGAATTTGTTAGGCAACACATTCAAACAATCTTTCACCAGTGACTCCATTGGCCAGGCCTGACCTGACATCTAACAACATATGAAAGTCTATTTGCTCCCCATAACAGATAACCAACTTTCAACAGTTACCCTTTTTCACAATTTCACATTCTCGTCACAAGAAATTCAAACTTCAATTGCAAGAATACTAGATGTTGGAAGTTACATCTCTGGGGCACAGACTTTGGAAGCAAAGGCAATCTGTCAGACTTAATAACCTATCTATAGCAAATAATAATCTAATCTAAATCTGGCTGGCTAGTAGATCAAGCATAAACTCTTTCCAATCACCAACAAAACTTAAATGGCACTAACTGAACCTAAGATCTACATTCTACTGAGACTACATATAACTGAAAAGTGGATTCTCTTTAATACCAACGAGATGACAACAAGCAGCCAATTTTCTTTTAACAATTTGTCATCACCTTTTGCCCAAGAAGCCAATACTCTGCCCACAGCAATTAGTCAAATGTACAGGTGGACCATCCCTTACCTGAAATCCAAAATATTCCAAAATCCAAAACTGTCCATATGACAAAGACAATGACAGCTTTGCTTTCTTGGGATTAAACATAAACAACCCTTGTTTCATCCAAAACTATTTAAAATATGTATAGAACACTTACAAAACAAATATGAATTTCATATTGAGAATTGGATCCTATCTCCAAGTTATCTCGTTATGTTGTTGCTGACCCTGTCACGTGGTTTTCTTGGTATGATATGTTCAGAAGAGGATTGCCATTGCTTTCTTCTGAGAATTGGTGTGTGATTTGCCCAAAGGAATCCAATGGGTTTCCATGGCTGAATAGGGACTCAAATTTGAATACACATGTCTCATTCTGTGTGTGTGCAAATATAGATATATCAAAATCTGAAAGAATCTAAAATCCAAAACATTTCTGGTCCCAAGCATTTTGGACAATATGATCACTGACTGGGGATAATTGAAAAGCTGCAGACCAGTCCATCTAGAAGGTACTAGGTAGTGGAAGACTGACTGAGCGTGCGTCTACACTAAATGCAGTTTGACATTACTTTCCCTGCCCTGGCCACATTCTGTAAAATCCTTGGATTTGTACTTTGGTGAACAGCATTCTTTGACAGAGGACACTGAAGTCCTTGTAAAACTACAACTACCATGATTCCATTGCAATGAGGTGTGGCAGTTACCGGTGTCAAACTGCATTCATCATACAGTGTAGTAGATCCCTGGACTCTGCTTTTCCTCAACCTCTGGAGACAGATCAGAGATTAGACTGCCCTCTCCTTTCCAAACACATTCTCAGGCCCCTTCAACGCCATATAAAATCCAGATTATCTGCTTTGTAACATTGATTATATGGCAGTGTAGAAGGGGCCTCAAAGAACCCAAGCTTAACAAGTCACCCAGAAAGTTCCCCCCGCAGACATGCTCAAGAGGAAAATGAATGCAGTTTGACACCACTTTAACTACCACAATTCAATGACATGGAATCACACGAGATTTTCACAAGGCCCTTAGTCTGCTCTGCCAAAGGGAGCTGATACTGCATCCAAGCTACAATTCCCAGGATTTCACAGCATGGGGTTAAGGCTGTTAAAGTATCAGGCTGCATTCATTCTACAGGGCAGATGTGCCCACTTTAACTGCTTTGGCTCAATGCTATGGAATCATGGCAATTGCTGTTTTACAAGGCCTTGAGCCTTCTCTGCTAAACAGTGCTGGTGCCTCAGCAAATTAGGATCCCAGGATTCCATAACATAGCAATTCAAGTGGGGTCAGATTCATTCTCCAGTACAGATGCACCCCTAGACTCTGCCTTTCCTCAACTCATCTCTGTCCTGTACATTTAATGCGTATTTTGTAGAAATGTGTTTTAATATGTGTCGTTTATAGAACTACATTTGAATATGTGTTCATAGAATTTTTGCAATGTTGGTGTGTTTTCACTTTGCTGTGATCCATCACAAGGAGAGATGGGTAAGACATAAAATTATTATTAGTAGTATTTCATAGAAATACGTTTTAATATGTATCTTTTATAGAACTATATTTTGATATGTGTTTATAGAATTTTTGCAATGTTTGTGTGTTTTGACTGGACTGGGCCCTGCCACAAGATGAGGCAGGTAAGAAATAAAATAATAATAATAATAATAATAATTCTTATTCTTCTTCTTATTATTATTACCCTCTTCCTACAGAATTGCTAAAGGGGTGCATCTACACCAGCCATGGGCAAACTTCAGCCCTCCAGGTGTTTTGGACTTCAACTCCCACAATTCCTAACCTCCTAGTGGCTGTTAGCAATGGTGGAAGTTGAAGTCCAAAACACCCGGAGGGCCAATGTTTGCCCATGCCTTGTCTATATAGTAGAAATAATGTCACTTGTACCACCATGGCTCCATGCTATGGAATAATGGGAGTTGAAGAGCGACAAGGCCTTTACGCTGTCCTGGGCACAGAGTTCTGGTACCACAACAAACTACACCTCACTACGACATGCGAATGTGTAGAAGAGCAAAGTACAGACCACCTATTACAATGCAGTCTGTGCCCCACCACATGGAAAACCTTCTTATAGCAACACCAGAGGCACTCCGAGTCAAAGGACTGATAAAAGGACATTTAGTATAATGCCAAATTTTAACTTTGTTTGTGGTTTTAAATACATTACAACTGTACCTTCAATTTGCTTCTAGCACAATAAATAAGTGAAGGTTGAGCACAGAATCATGTTAAAAGACCCAGCCATTACTACAGAAGTGTTCTCTCAAGTAGAAAAAAAAAAATCAGTTTCTTTAATCATGCTTTTTTACCTTGATGGGCGGGGGAGGAGGGCTGTGCCTCTAAATGCCAAGTGTTTAAACTTTGTGTTTTTAAATACACTGCAACTGTATCCTCGGGTTTGCTTCTGACACAATAAATACCAAACTACAACTCCCAAAGATTTCATAACATAGAGCTATGGCCCTTGAAAGTGGCGTCAAAGTACCCTAACACAGTCAGGAATGGGTAAACTTGGACCCTCCAAGTGTTTTGGACTTCACCTCCCACAATTCCTAACAACCTTCTGGCAGTTAGGAATTGTCGGGAGTTGAAGTCCAAAACACCTGGCGGGTCCAAGTTTGCCCTGCCTGGTATAGGTGCATCTTGGGGCCCTTCCAGACAGCCCTATATTGCATAATATCAAGGCAGAAAATCCCACAATATCTGCTTTGAACTGGATTATTTGAGTTCACACTTTGGGGCCTTCCACACAGCCCTATATCCCAGAATATCAAGGCAGAAAATCCCACAATATCTACTTTGAACTGGGTTATTTGAGTTCATACTTTGGGGACTTCCAGACAGTCCTATATCGCATAATATCAAGCCAGAAAATCCCACAATATCTGCTTTGAACTGGGTTCTTTGAGGTCACACTTTGGGCCCTTCCACACAACCCTGTATCTCAGAATATCAAGGGAGAAAATCCCACAATATTTGAGTGTGGACTCAGATTAACCAGGACATTTGTGTATTAACATTGCATTTATAGATATCTGTGTGTACTTAGAGAACAGAGTTGAACATCACCTTCAGACGCCGGAGATGGGTATTCCCAAGAATGTTTATTACATTCTGAATTCACATGAGACAATATTGGCTATGTTAAAGTTTGCCCATACTACCTTTGGAAGATCTGACAAATTATTTTGAAAAACTTGTATATTATGTTGGTTATACTGTTGTAAATTGTCCCTAAGTATTTACTGCCCATGCTTGCGTATTATATGAGTTAGTTTGGTATTTTTCCTCATTACTCCAATTGGTATTTGTGCTGAAGTTTGTAGTAATAGGAAACTTGTGTATATTAACATTCTGGGATATAGGGCTGTGTGGAAGGGCCCTCAGATAAAGTTGGACTTCTTGCCTTGGTATTATGGGATATAGGGCTGTGTGGAAGGGCCTTCAGATAATGTGGGATTTCCTGCCTTGGTATGCTGGGATATAGGGCTGTGTGGAAGGGTCCTAGGACTTCAGTAACCTAGCCAAGCCTGCCAGAGTTGCCTACCTTGGACCCTTCCACACAGTCCTATATTCCAGTCTATATCCCAGAATATCAAGGCAGAAAATCTCACATTATCTGCTTTCCACTGGAATATATGGTGGGTTGTTTGTTTGTTTTTTGTCGTGTCAGGAGCAACTTGGGAAAACTGGGATATAGGGCTGTGTGGAAGGGCCCTCAGATAAWGTGGGATTTCCTGCCTTGGTATTATGGGATATAGGGCTGTGTGGAAGGGCCCTCAGATAATGTCGGATTTTCCTGCCTTGATMTTCCAGGATATASGGCTSTGTGGAAGGGCCCTAGGACTTCAGTAACCTGCCCATGCCTGCCAGAGGTGCCTACCTTGGGCCCTTCCACACAGTCCTATATTCCAGARTATCAAGGTAGAAAACCTCACATTATCTCCATTGGAATATGTGGTGGATTGTTTTGTTTGTTTTTTGTCGTGTCAGAAGCAACTTGGGAAAAMTGGGACATAGGGCTGTGTGGAAGGACCCTCAGATAAAGTGGGATTTCCTGCCTTGATATCCTGGGCTATAGGGCTGTGTGGAAGGGCCCTCAAGATAATGTGGGATTTCCTGCCTTGGTATTCTGGGGATATAGGGCTGTGTGGAAGGGCCCTGACTCTGGAGTGTTTCTACAGCTGTAGATGAAGCCACTGACAGGGGAATTCTATGACGCTCAGAGGTGAAGGGCCCTTGATCTCCAGCCGCTCTTTCCTCTTACCTGCCCGAGTCTGGTTCGCGGCACCCCGGATGGGAGACATCGGGAAGGCTCCCCGCCGTGCCCGCGTTCCCTGGGGCGGCCGAAGCAGCGGCGGCGGCTTGCAGAAGTTCCTTTTCCCCGCCCCGACGCGTTCCCCCCGAGGTGGCCGCTCCGCTGCAGCTTTTGGTGCGGAAAAGGCGGCTGAGGCGGACCTTGAAGGAGCCTTTCCTGGACGGGGTGGAGGGCCGCTTCGGGCCTGGCGAGGCAGGAGGCGCCGGGGCTTGGGAGTAGCGGCCGGCCCCGATGTTAGCCGGGGTGGGGGGTTCCGCCTGCCCCAATGTTGTTGTTGTTGATGATGTTGCCGAAGCCTCTCCTCCTCCTCCTCCCTCGCCGTCCTCCTCCTCCTCCTCTTCGGGGCCGAGGGCTTCCAGGACCAGCAAGGCGTCGCTGGTCTCCTCGGGCAGCGAAGGCGGCGGCGGGGCCTGAGGCGAGCAAGGGCAGGCGCCGGGGGGTTTGCCGGGCGCCCCGAGCGCCAGGGCGGCGAGCTGCAACTCGAGGCCGGCGCCTGGGGGAAAGAGTAGGCCGCCGGCCGCGCCGTTCCAGCACCGCCCGGCTGCGGGTTGGCAGTGGCATCCCTTCGGAGGGGCGTCGAGGAGGGAGCAGCGGGGCTGCGGAGGAGGCGGCGGAGGAGGCGGCTGCTGAGGCGGAGGCAAGGCCGGGGACCCCGACGCCTCGCCCGGGCGGAAGACCAAGAGCTGCGAGCCCCTCAGGCCGCCCGTGGCTTCCCCGACCACGGCGCCGCCCACGGCTGAGGCCGACTCGGCGCCGCCGTAGCCCAGGAAACGGCTCAGGACCCGGTAGGAGGCCGCGGCCGCAGCAACAGCCTCGCCTCCAGGCTCCGCCGCTGCTGCCGCCGCCGCTCCTCCTCCTCCGGTCCGCTGCATGGCGCTACGAGAGGCCGCGCATTGCATGGAGCCGGCCTCGGAGCCACAGCCAGCCCGAGGCTTTTCCCCTCAGCCAGCCGCTTACGGGCCCGCCCGAGCCCCGAGTGGGTGTGCACACGCCCCGCGACTTCCTCTTCCGGCGACGCGCCGCCCAATAGGAGCACAGCCTCCTCCGACTCGCTCCCTCCGCTCCGAGGCAAACACCGACGTCGCCAAGCCACGCCCCCTATTATAGCCAATCGGCGACGTCTCTTTTTGTGAAGCCACGCCCCTCCCTCAGTCTGCCTCGCGCTTTCTCTCCCAACTCCAAGCCACGCCCTCTCTCCACCCTTTCCGAAGCCACGCCCCTTCCTTCCCTGGAAGCCACGCCCTCTTGCAAGAGAATCCTCACGCTTAGGCCATTTATTATGTGTGGATCATAATACATTGTGGCAGGTTGTTGGTGGGATGGGCATACCAAATCACCTTGTCTCTCTCCTGAGGAATCTGTTAAGGACCAAGTAGCAACAGTCAGAACTGACCATGGAACAACCGACTGGTACAAGATTGGGAAAGGCATATGGCAGGGTTGTATCCTCTCACCCAACTTATTCAACTTGTATGCGGAACACATCATGCGATGTGCAGGACTTGACGAATGCAAGGTTGGGGTTAAAATCCTTGGAAGAAACCTTAACAACCTTAGATATGCAGATGATACCACTTTGATGGCCAAAAGCGAGGAGCTGAGGAGCCTTCTAATCAAGGTGAAAGAAGAAAGTGCAAAAGCTGGGTTGCAGCTAAACATAAAAAAACCAAGATTATGGCAACAAGAATGATTGACAACTGGGAAATAGAGGGAGAAAACGTGGAGGCCGTGACAGACTTTGCATTTCTAGGTGCAAAGATTACTGCAGCCAGGAAATCAGAAGACGTTTACTTCTTGGGAGGAGAGCAGTGACCAATCTTGATAAAATAATTAAGAGTAAAAACATCACACTGGCAACGAAGATCCGCATAGTCAAAGCAATGGTATTCCCCATAGTCACCCACGGATGTGAAAGCTGGACCATAGGGAATGCTGAGCGAAGGAAGATAGATGCTTTTGAACTGTGGTGTTGGAGGAAAGTTCTGAGAGTGCCTTGGACTGCAAGAAGATCCAACCAGTCCATACTTCAGGAAATAAAGCCCAACTGCTCATTGGAGGGAAGGATACTAGAGGCAAAGATGAAGTACTTTGGCCACATCATGAGAAGACAGGAAAGCTTAGAGAAGACAATGATGCTGGGGGAAAATGGAAGGAAAAAGGAAGAGGGGACCAAGGGCAAGATGGATGGATGGCATCCTTAAAGTGACTGGCTTGACCTTGAAGGAGCTGGGGGTGGTGACAACTGACAAGGAGCTCTGGCGTGGGCTGGTTCATGAGGTCATGAAAAGTTGGGAGCTACTGAACGAATGAACAACAAATGGAACTCCCTGTTTTCCTGACTATTCCGGCCCTTGCCTGCCATTGCAGAGCTGAAATCTGCATCAGAAGCGGGGGAAGCTCTCTGTTTGGCTGTGGGCACCACAATCTTCCCAGCTGCTTGTGACGCCTGAGCCAGCTCTTCCAATCAGCACAAAGCCGGCCCCAGCTGGGTGTGCGCACAAACAACAAAAGACTGAACTGTATTTTATCTGCACAATAGCATGTCAGCTTCTTTGAATGGCTTACCACTAACCATCATCCTTTCTGGCCAAATCGAATAAATTACCTTGGTGGGTCCTGCTTCAACTGGTGAGACGTCTTTGATTGGGAACTTTGGGTTTTAGCTTTAAGTCTCACCAGGCATGGACACAATTTCCACGTTCCGGATCTCACTATCCGCAAATTGCCCTGAATTGCTTGATAGCCCAGACTAACAGGACTGTGTCTTCAAATTTAACAAAGTTCAGTGTAGCTATCATGAAATCTCAGATTTAAATCATATCAAGTTCTTTACACACATATTACAAGACTTTCCCTAATGGCAAGAAAGCAAGTGTGACCTAGTAACAGGAATGATGACTAAGGAAATCAATTCAGATGTTCCCTCAGCCATTAACTCAATAACCAGCCTTAGGGCAAGGCACTCTCACTGACTGTTCCTCCACCATCATCACCTTTAATATGGGAGTAGGAGTTAAATAAAATATGTGTTTTATCCACCATGTCCTGATTACAGGTGAGTCTCGCTTATCCAATATAAACGGGTTGGCAAACCAGTGGATAATAAGGAGGGATTAAGGAGAAGCCTATTAAACATCAAATTACATTATGTTTTTACAAATTAAACACAAATACATGTTTTACAACAAATCATTATGTTATGTAGTAATTACTGTATTTACAAGGGTTGAATGAAAAATAATGCCTCCACCTTCATTATTTGGGTTTAGATGGGAATATTTTAATAAATCAAACGCAGAAATAACCCTTCAAATGTACTCTTTAACTACCACTATTCACTTTTCCACATAATCACCAGACAATTGGATAAATTTCTGCCAATGTTAAACAAGTTTTTTGAAGCTGTCACGGAAGAAGTCGACACTCTGTTTCTGCAATCCATCATGCATAGATCTTCTGATAGCCAAGCAAAGCAATAATGTATCCCACACATTCTTGTGAAGTGCTGATTATGCTTGAAATTTCTCTCTGACTGATACGACGATCGTCCTGAATCAATCTGTCAACCTTTTGCTTGTGAAACTCAGTGGCTGCTGTCACAGGACATCCAACTCTTTATTTGTCATGCAAGTCAGATGTTCCCACCTCAACATCTTTAAACTTACTCGCCCATCAACACACAGTACTCATCAACACAATCACTATAAACAGTCTGATGAATCTCCTTTGGGGTGACACCTTCTACTTTCAAGAATTCAATGACTGCACGTTGCTTAAGTTGCATTGACCGACCGTCTGTGAAGGGTTCCATACTTTGCACTTTAACAACACAACCATTCAATGCTAAGGCTTCCTGCCAAATGGAACTGTAGAGGAGAGTCTACTGAACAAGCCAGTACCTGCCGCATACCAGTACTGCCATCTGTCGAGGAGTAACGAAGGTGGAGGCATTACTTTCCATTCAACCCTCATACGAATTTAGCACCAAAACGTTGCAATGTATTGAAACAGCTGTGGATCTGGGCAGGAGGCAGACTTCGTTGAATAATACAGAATGTTGGATGAGCGGAGGTTAGATAAGCGAGATTCTACTATACTTTGAATGGGCCTGAAAAGAAGCAAGGGAGCGAAGGGATGATTTATTGTTGCCACCAATTTGAAAGGAACCAGTATTTAGGAGATTTTACCCCAGTTCCCAATTTTAAAAAGAACTGGCCGATTTGCAATGGAGGTTGCCGATTAGGAACCAAATTTACCATCAAGTTGGAAGGGAGGCTGTTTAATTGCACCTCCTCCTCTATTAAGAAAGTAATAACTTAGTAGTAATTACACTGTATATACTGTAGCGTGACTGGAGAGAAGAATGTAGATTTATTTGGTTACTTTTCCCTGCGTTTCTGCCACCACGTGAGGTAAGTTGTAATATTGTGAGAAATGGCATTTTGGACACAGAATAGACGAAGCTGAGGCAATCTTCATATAAAAGTTAACAATTTTATTAAGTACACAGCGTGTGGTTGCAAGACGTAACTTTTCCTTGTTGCACTTGGAATAATACTTGTAACTTTAACAGTTCATTCTTTCAAGTAACACAGTATATTTCTGACATAGAGCACTTGTTTCAGACAAAATTTCAATACAGGGATGTTTCCCTTGTTTGATCCTCCCAAGATCAAATACTAAGTAAACTATTCTTTACCTCTCCTTAGACTAAAACAATACCAGCTATGTTTCACCATTCGGCTGCACTAGCCTGAGAAACTTCCAATAGCCAAACCCAGCTTTTCAAAGCCTCAAAGCTTTGCTTCACAAGTCACTCCGCCACCTTTCCTTTCCTTCTCTCCCAACTCCTAACTCCTCTGAACCTAACTCCTGACTCCCCTGAACCTAAACCTGGCCTGCTCACACCTCTAAACCTAAACCCTAACTGATTTTTAACTGTCGTTTTTTCAAACTCTCCCCTCTAAGCTCCTCCCACTTCCCTCTCTCCTGCATCGGTCTCCATGGCAACGCACATGGAGGACTCCTCTGACTTAGGCTGCTCCAGTATTACTGCAGCCAATCTAAACACAAATACAGTTAAAATCATACAATTTATAATCAACTCCTGTACAGGGCCTGTTGCTTGCATTTTGCCTGAATTAAGAACCTGCCGACCTGCAGGAGACTTTTATCTTTTCTATTTGTGTAGCTTCAATATATTAAATTACATAGCTTTCAAGGTGCTATCCTAGGATGTGTTACCCTCACAAATGTATAGTTCAGCCTTCTAGATACAGATTCATGAGACAACAGCTGCTTTGTTTGAGTATGGCTGACAGCCATTTTGAAAAATGGGTCACTATAAGAGCATTCCAACTTGTCCACAGTGTTTGCTCATTTCTTCCCATTCTAAACCCGAGCTTCAAACTGTACAAAAGCAATGGTTTTCATAGAGAAATCTGTAACTACATTGGATGTTTCCTGAAAGGATAATTCATCCACAGGGATGGGTTAGAAATCAGGCCAACCAGCTGCCAGATTAATATGAGGGAAAGCAAAATGAGATCATGGCTGCCTTAAAGAATTTTGCACCTAACAATGAATTTTTTCTCAGTCGCAACATTTTTAGCATCATAGTAAATTAAAATCTTGGATGGGCATTGAGAAATTCTGATTAGATAGCCAAGAAAAAGAGGGGGCAAAGGTACTAAGGGAATATGAACACCACAAACTGACATATGAAGGGTTTTTAATGTCTCACTTTTCACAATGCTAAAAAATTTAGGAAATGAAGGAATACTTAATGGAGGAGTCAGAATTCTTACTTGGGACAGGCGATTCTCCCATTTTGCCCTCCTATAGTTGCATCCCTGATGAGCAGAGGAAGGACTACAAGCCAAGCTGAACATTGATTGAGAAAAATATCAGCTTGAATTCAGACTGTCTTTCAAAAACAGAAAGATCCTTATTTGCAATCTTTAGATCTAATTGCTGAAATGTCTGTTTTAGGAACAAAAGTGAAGGGAGTGTTTTCAACTGAAAAACATGGTTTCGATCTGAAT